GGAATGCTTGCGTGCTCAAAGCGCACCAAATATTCGCGAGAAAATGTCTGGAGTTGGTTACAATCAATACTATTTTTTTATTCATCAGTAGTTTATTAAAAAAGGAAAAATCAAAAAAATTAGGCGATGGTGGATGACACCATCAGACAGAAGTAGAACTGGGGGTACTGATTTATTAGTGAGATTATTGTTATTAGATTCCAAAAATTTGTGCGTTTTTCATCAGAAAGCTTTGAATATATTTAAAAATAAAATATGCCCTCAAATTATGAAAAAGGACGCAGTATTTGAGATATTTCGGGGGGGGGGTTCTGACCCCTCTAACCCCCCTCTGGGTACGGCCCTGCATCAGGGGGTTAGATGTAAGAGTAGCCGAAGGCTAAATCTCGCCTCGTGATGTTCAAGAAAGAAAGAGATTTTCCTGTATTATTTCTTCGAATTATGTAATAATTTGTAATCTCTACATTATAAAGACGATATTATTATTATTATAGTCATACTAACTGGAAAATTTTTCATTCGATGTTTACTAATATTCATCACAATTCGGCAACAGTTAATATCATGATAACTCTTGCAAAAAAATGACTATTAGGTTTTGTTTATGTACAATCTACGATTTATACAGTCAACTAGATCGATTACCACTGACTTCAATCTGTCACAAGCTTCAAGCAATGATCTAACAATACTTTAACGTTCAATGGTTCACGAGTTCATGGTATGATTCTAAGCTGGTTCCCAGAATTTTCGTTAGAGCTGCCATCACCGGGAAAAATGATTGAAATTTACCTCGGAATTTTCATTTCGAACGAAAAAAATTACTTCAGTTTTATTGAAAATATACTTTCTCTATTGAATAATTCACATCCCCGAGCGTAATTTCAGTAGGCAATGTACTTTTCATTGAGAATTAAATATTCATCTAATATATGTGTGAAATCATAACGTATNTCTACGATTTATACAGTCAACTATATCGATTACCACTGACTTCCATCTGTCACAAGCTTCAAGCACTGGTATAACAATACTTTAACGTTCAATGGTTCACGAATTCATGGTATGGTTCTAAGCTGGTTCCCAGAATTTTCTTTAGAGCTGCCATATTCACTATAAGGAAGGACTATGACTTCATCCTATTGTTTATTTATGATATCGTTAACGACTTGTTTCTTCACTTCCAAATAAATTGTTATCTTCGTTTTCATTGCAACAAGTTCTTTTTACAATCTATATTAATGACCCTCCACATATATTTGTCTCAAATGTATGTTGGGTGAAACAAAAACTTTGCATTGGTTCCAACAGAAAACACTAGAATAATACCTTTATGTTTCTCTAGGAATATGCAAGGCAAAAAGCTATTAACACAAAATAAATTGTAACATTTTTATTGGCAGGATTGATTTCAGGCGTGACACTGGCACATTTGATTTCACCAAGAACTGTACATAACAGAAATACGCGACGGACTGTGGCTGCTCATCGTTTCGAGGTTAAACTCAGTACACCTCGAACTTCACTCCTTAGGAACTCTTTCATTTGGGAAACCGCGTGCATGTGGAATAACCTTCCTGAGAACGTTTTTCCAAATGAATATAAGCGCCTTAAGGATTTTCCTGTAGTTTCTGTGTTCTGTCCTTAAAAATATCGACATATAGTTAGTCAAAACGTTGTTCAATGTGGTATCATGAATGCCTCAGTTTTAACGTTCGGATTTCAACTAATATGTAGGTATGCTTTATTTTCGACGTTCAAGTA